GGGGAGGGGGAGGGGAGGGGAGGTGGTGTCACGGGGCTGAACGGTACGTATATGAGGGCAACTCTAGGCAGAGGCTTGGAGCAGTGAGAGAGGAGGTAGGAATGGGAAGGGATGGCATTGGAAAGAGGTGGGAGGGTCCAAAACGGATCATCATGAAATACCACCGTGTGTTTCACCCGGAGGACCCCGGCCCTGTCCCTCTCCGCATCCTTCGGTTCATACATAAGGCCCGTACGGAGACGGAGCTGGAGGCCGCCATCTCCGAGGCTGTACGGCGGCGCGGGGAGCTGTGTTTCATCATGGCGGTGACCCACCGGGACGACTGCAGCAAGGAGCTGCTGGAGTGGGGGAGCCGAGTGGCGGCGGCGAACAGCCGTAAGCCCGGGGCCGCGCAGGCGGGTAGCGGCCACTGAGGGAGGGCACGTGATGGCTGATTGGATGGGCTTCTCTCTGTTCTGGTGTACGGCGTCCGGAACGTGGGGGTTTTGGCGCGGCGGGGTTTGATGCGAGAATCCTCGAATGGGGTGTGCGGAGGAGAAAACAGCCGCTGGCGTGATGGATGAAGGGAACAGAAACGTGTGTGTGTGTGTGTGCGTGTGTGTATTGCGCACCAGGGTTATCAGTTCGTGCTAATTTAGTTTCGTTCCCCTGCCCAGGGGGCGACAGGGAGGGAGGGAGGCGTGGGGAAGACGTGGCAGGAGTTTGCCCGTCGTCGCCGTTGTTGTTGGTCGTTGGTCGTTGGTTGGTTAACATAAAAACTTTAAAAAATTGTCCAATATGTTGTTGTTGTTGTTGTATTATGTTCCCCGAGTGGAACATAATATCACCTGCCAGTACCAGACGGTGGTCGTCAGGACACCGGGCCACAGACACCGCGTAGCGACCACCAACTGAAAAACGTTTTTGACGGTTGGGTGAGACTTCGCTGAGCTCGGCTCGGAAACGCGTAGGCTGTACATAAGAGTTAAAGTTGATGAAAGCTTGCTCAAGACGGCCTGTTGTTCATTACAATTTCTTCTTCAAGTGAAGTCGGATCTTCGGTTCTAGGGAGCTCCTGTTCAGCATGCTCGATGGGGAAAATCTTTCGTGGGGGTTTTCTTCGTAGGAAAACCCCCACAGTAACCACTTGTTCACTAAAAAATACCGCGGTGAAAAAAATTAAAAACACTTAAAAGAGTTCAAAAACGCGGCAGTGGGGCAGCGGTGGCCGTGCTCGAATCCTGAAGCGGGGAAGGAGGAGAACTATCGTTAGTGGTCAGGATTGAGAACGAAGAAGCCCTACCAATTTAAAAAGTACAGCTTAAGAGTCCGTCAGATCCGTTAGCTGCGTTTGTGAAGGCAGCTACATTAGGAAAGGATCCAGCATCGCATGCTAAATTTAAGGCGTAATTTCCGGGGTTGTTATCGTAAGACTGGGTGGCGTCATTGAAGTGGCGACTGTGACGGCGACCATGTCGACGGGAAAGAAGCGATAGAGCAAAGAAGACAGCAGATAAGCGTGCTGTCTTTACGTACATGTCTTATCTACATGCTGCAGCCGGGCCCCAGTCCCCAAGTCGCCGCCTCTCTACACAGGTCGCACATCAGTTCGACACGTCCGTTAAAAATGCTCGTTACGTAGGTTGTTTTTTTGACGGATAAGTTGGTTGGACGTGTCGGTTCTCAAACTCTTACGAGGAAATCTGTTCTGTGTAGTACCTTACCGTGACTCCCGCGACACCGAACCGTACAAGTTACAAGTTCCGCACACAAGTGCGGTTGTGTCCGTAAAAGCCGGGGGGGACATGGCTCGAGGGGGACGCAGCCATACCAGGGGCCGCTATTCAGGAGATCGAATTGGAAAATATGCGCAGGAAGATTAAGGACGCCCTGTCCAACCCACGCGGCTTGTGGACATGGCTGCGTGGGGGAAAAGCGCATCCTTGCGGGATCTCAGATGCTAGTGCTTTTACCGAGCATTTTTTCAAAGTGCTTAATGGTGCGGGAGACGCGAGGCAAGGTCGCAACGAGGGTATACATCGCAAATGGCAGGACGAGGACCGGGTGATGCTACGATGGGAATTAGCTGCTTGGCTCAACTTGTTAAGAGTTTAACGGAGGCCTCAAGGCTATGCGCAACATTAAGTCCGCAGGTCTGGAGGGAACCCTGGCCGAGTATTATAAGTACGCTATCAGGGAGAGTGAAGGGCAGCGGCCCGTGTTTGTGTTGGCCCGTGTGTGCTATACAACCGCATATACGGAGCTAAGTACCCCAGCGGGTTTACTACTAGCAACCTTTCCCCTGTATTCAAGAAAGGGGACGCGTCCTGCTGTGATAATTATCGAGACATTGCGGTTGGAGGTCCCCTGTGCAAACTTTACGCCAATACCATGGGGAGGCGACCCACCAATACTGCGAGAGCAACAGGCTACGTGCCGCTAGCCAGGCTGGGTGTAGGCTTGGTTTTGGTACCGAGCATCACTTGTTTACATTAAGGCATCTTATCTCAAAGCACACTGTGGCCGGATCCAGGCCGATTATTATCATGCAAATTGACGTAAGGCGTTCAACTCCGTCGACCATGAGACACTTTGGGGCTTCCTCATGTTGTATGGGCTACATGGGCGCATCCTCGATTCCGTGAAGGCTAGCTACGCTGACGTAAAGGTTCGGGTCAAGTTGGGGAATAGGTTGGGGCCTGAATTCACGGTGGGGCGTGGCGTGAAGCCAGTGTGCCCCCTTAGTGTAATCCTTTTTTGACTCCTCGTAGAATTTTTCGCACATTACATTGATGCTCACGATGCTAATTGCCGTGTACGCCTTCCCAGCCGATGGAGCACCCGCCGTGAGCAGTCTTTGGAGCTGCCGTACTCCGGCTCCGGGGACATGCAGCACGTTGGCGTGGCTGAGGGACAGTTGTCGCAGCCCGGCTGGGAGATGATCCGCCCGCAGCAGCAGCTTCCCCAGCCACAATGCGGCGGCGCTGGCGGCGCCGGCGGCGCCGGCGGCACCGCTGCCGCTGTTGGTCCCTGTGCCGGTCGACGGGTGATCGTGAAGTCCCAGCTCCCTGACGTCAAATACATGTGGCGGCGCTAAAGTTGGATTGTCGCAGGAAGGAAGGGTGAATGGTGCGATGGACGACCCATGGGTCCGTTAGGTTGTGTGTGCCTGGGTGTGTCCGGATGTCCTTGACATGCAGAAGTCCACAGAAGCTCTGTGTAATGACGGAAGGCCCATCTGAGTATCCCCTGTTACGCCTTTGCCGTGATACAATGGTGTCGAGACGGGGCTGCACGACTTCCGCTGTAATCTGCGGGTGGGCCGTTCTATTTTAACTATCAGCAAGTAACGCCAACGGCTTACGACGGTGTATTGGATAATCCAACGCTAGAAGAGCGTGAGGTGGGAGGGCTCCTTTGCTCGTGAATTGGCCGAGGACGTCCTTTGCTAAGCGGGGGGCAATGTGACGACGCAAGGCCCATTTGAGCTGTTGGGCCAATTACTAGCCAGGCTGGGTGTAGGCTTGGTTTTGGTACTGAGCATCACTTGTTTACATTAAGGCATCTTATCTCAAAGCACACTGTGGCCGGAGCCAGGCCGATTATTATCATGTAAATTGACTTTAGTAAGGCGTTCGACTCCGTTGACCATGAGACACTTGGGGCTTCCTCATGTCGTACGGGCGACACGGGCGCATCCTCGATTCTCTGAAGGCTAGCTACGCTGACGTGAAGGTTCGGGTCAAGTTGTTGAATAGGTTGGGGCCTGAATTCACGGTGGGGCGTGGCGTGAAGCCAGTGTGCCCCCTTAGTGTAACCCTTTTTTGACTCCTTCGTAGAATTTTTCGCACATTACATTGATGCTCACGATGCTGACTGCCGTGTACGCCTTCCTAGCCGATGGAGCACCCGCCGTGAGCAGTCTTTGGAGCTGCCGTACTCCGGCTCCGGGGACATGCAGCACGTTGGCGTGGCTGAGGGACAGTCGTCGCAGCCTGGCTGGGAGATGATCCGGCCGCAGCAGCAGCTTCCCCAGCCAGAATGCGGCGGCGCTGGCGGCGCCGGCGGCACCGCTGCCACTGTTGGTCCCTGTGCCGGTCGACGGGTGATCGTGAAGTCCCAGCTCCTGACATGTGATTACATGTGGCGGCGCTAAAGTTGGATTGTCGCAGGAATGAAGGGTGAATAGTGCGATGGACGACCCATGGGTCCGTTAGGTTGTGTGTGCCGGGGATTGTACGGATGTCCTTGACATGCAGAAGTCCACAGAAGCTCTGTGTAATGACGGAAGGCCCATCTGAGTATCCCCTGTTACGCTTTTGCCGGGATACAATGGTATCGAGACGGGGCTGCACGACTTCCGCTGTAATCTGCGGGTGGGCCGTTCTATTTTAACTATCAGAAAGCAACGCCAACGGCTTACGACGTTGTATTGGAAAATCCAACGCTAGAAGAGCGTGAGGTGGGATGGCTCCTTTGCTCGTGAATTGGCCGAGGACTACCACTGCTTTGGGGGCCAATGTAACGACGCAAGGCCCATTTAAGCATATGCCCTTTTGAACTGTTGGCCGTTGTGCCCGTTGGATCGGAAGTGGCCTTTACTTTCGTGTTTGTCGTGTCGGGACTCTGTTTGTCGTGTCGGGTCTCTTGTCCGATTTCTCTGTTGTCGGTGACCTGGGCGCGTGGAGCGGTCGTTGTTTCAGAGCCGGTGTTTCAGTTCAAGCCCCTAGCTGGCCGTTTGGTCACCCCTTAGAGGGCACATGTTTTAGGATTACCTTCAGTGGGCGTCCATCAGCGTCTGTTGCGTGATCTGTCGCGTCTGTGGCCGGTGGGTCAGTCTATGCGCGGTTGGGGACCGCTGGTTTGACCTAGTTCTTGTGGAGTGTGTTTGGCGCTTTCCGTTCGGTTTGTTCGCTCTTCAGCCTGCGTAGAGGTGGCGCGTCCGCAACCCTTGCTGCTGGGTTGCCGCTTGGGGGTCGTTGAGGCTTTTGGCTCCGGGAGCTCTATTTCGTTTTGGTGTGTGCGCCTGTCTGGCAGCTCTCGCGTCCTTTGGCCCGCTTGCGGGTCGGCGCGTTGCGCCGTTTGGTGGTTGAATACTTCAACCGCTAGAGGGGGTATCTTCTCCTTTGGGATTTGTCTCTGAAGCAACATGCTGGGTTCGTTGGGCGTAAGGCCCAGTGCGTAACAGTGACTTTCGCAGCGGCCCGTGTCCTCAGGGCCGTCATTTATTGCGCGCATTACGCTGGTAAGCTTATCTTGTTTTTGTTGTTCAGTGCGCGCCCCCCCGCCCGCCCAGCCGTTCACGGCGCAGCCCACGTTAGTTCAGTTGCGGTGGTTCGAAAGGCCTGTCTCCTTCGGGCCTCTCAGTCCTTTTCTCTCTTCCATTATATGTAACAGAAAATGGCATTTGCTCCTGAAGCAACAACTAACGGTTTGTAAAAAATGCAAGCTTGGCCAGCACAGCTTCTTCTCGTCTGTTATCACAATCGTTGTTGCTAGCTTATGTAAAGTAGAAATTGTCGATGATGTTGAATTGCATCATAAGACGCTGGCGGAAAAATCCGTTGTCCCGCTCCAAGAGGCTCCAGGAGGCTCCAGGAGGCAAAAACGAATTGGAAACCTAAACATCGTAGTCTTCACCAGCGCCGTGCCATGAAAGCGTTATAGTATAGCGTGTGGCTAGTCTGGCGTGCGACATGGACCCCATAGCGGCTGTTGAAGCGGAAATCGTCAAAGTTGCGGATGAAATACAAGCCGTTGGTGCAGCGATAGCGGCTTGTACAGATAAGGATACATTAGACTTCCTATGGAAGAAAAAGTTGCTCCTGCGTAAGGAGAAGGAGCAGCTGCGTAAGGAGAAAGAACAGTTACGCGAGGAAAAGCTAATTTTGCTTCGCAAAGGTGAGTTGTATCAGCACAGTCACGGCACAGACGTGTACCTAGTGTACCTGCGCTGACCGTCTGCAGCATAAACGGAAGGGTTGGCCTTGCGCTTCTTCGGGTTTACACCGCTTGGCGACTAATCCAGTCACATTCACATGTTGTCGGTTGTCGCTTGGCATGCGGTCTTGTGAACACAGAAAGAGCTCACGGACGCCTATTCCCGTGGGTTTACCCAGCCAAGCCAACTAGGGCTTACCGGTTCCTTCCCTCGACACAGATACGGATGCGACGCGCGCTGACAAACCCAAGTCCTTCTCATCAGTGGCCTTGACGGAGGCTGAGCTGGTTTTGCACACCATCGGCATCAGGCAGTGTGATGGCAGGCGCGTGGCAAATGCGGAACTGCAGGTTCCCCCTGGCACGGCCATCTGCGATGAATTCGACGTTACACCATACCGGTCTGAGGATGAAGCTACACCGCGGCTCCTGCAGCACCACCAGGAGCAGCTGGAGCGCCTGGGAGTAAAATTTGATGTGCTAGGCGGCTTCCAAATGTTTGACGTGCACAATCGCACGTCTGATTCCCTGACAATCTACTGTGGTGGCCAAACCTATCGTGGCATTTTCGACGGCTGTGTAGCACCATATGGCCTGATGGGCTTCGGTTCCCTGGAACAGAGCCGTATCATATACGAGCACAAAAGGCAACCACAGGTATTTACATGTATTCTGATTAGTTAGTGATGTATCACAGCTGCTGAATGCGTTGGGTGAGGACATGGTATGTATGTGTTCAAGCCAGAAGTGTGGCGTCGCTTTACCCACCTAACATGCACATCTGGTTTGGATGACAATTTGCAGAAGCAATCGGCTAAGGCCCAGGGAATCATGAAACTGCTGGCTGCTAACGCCTATGGGCCATGTCCAGTGATGCTGGATGTGACGGATGGCAACACGCACGATGTGTACACCATTCGTGGGAAGCGGCTCATCACTTGGGCTGGGCTGGACCCAACACAGGTGGGGGATTCGGTCCAGTCACTGCATAACCCAAAAGATGCTTTATACTTCCTATAAGGTTCCAAGCTTGCCCAGGACGCTGCATGCTCTTTGTGCACTTTGGCTGGATAGGCCAGCAGTGTTGCCCTGGTGCTCTAACTTGTATGGAGGAGTGTATTGCTAATGGCATGTAGGGTGTACATGGTTAGGGGCAGCTCATATTCCATTCCCCCCTGCATCCTGCAGGCCTACTACCTGCAGGCGCAGCACCTCCAGGCTAATGAGAAACGCGCGCTTTGGTCGCTAGAGCTGGAGGAGATTCCGGAGGAGGAGCAGGTGTGGATGCGAAAACTGCACGAACTGCGCCCTGTTTCGGGCCTGAAGGAGCAGCTGGACTCGATCATTCCCTTCCTGCCTCCGGAGGAGCGTATGTCCACGGCATTTGAACTCATCCACTCGTGGGCACAGACACAACCGGAGCTTGTCCCTGACCGCTTTCCAACCTACATCAGCTGAACTGGGGTGAGCCAGTGTGAGGGACATGCTATAATGTATTGTAGAATGCAATGGGTTTGGTTGCTTGTTCGCATTAGAGAGTTGATGACTCGGAGGGCTATCTCATGTAGTGATTTTGATGCATCCCGCACACTGGATGCTGATATGACCTTGTGCGGTCATATGTGACCAGCAGCATCAGAGGGGGTCATAAGTCCAGTTTGCGAGAGAAAACGTAACTAAAGTAAGCGAACTCAGACTTACTGCTCAGCTATCAACATGTGTGTCCTCGCATCCAGATGTTATGAATGACCTGCACTCGATATCGGCCTGGTATACACCTATAGGTTGGAAATCGCTGCATTCAACATTAATCGGGTTCGGCGTAATGAAATTGACCTTCCCCTGGTCATCCAGTTCCGGGTGCAGCTCCGGGAAGTGTCCAAGGCGCCTAAGAACCTTAAGATCATGGCATCCCAGTTAGTGGCAGTACTATTAAATCGCACCGCAAGACGTACCTCCTCACACAGAACATTGTGAAACATAGTCCCCTTCGCAAGGATGAGGCTGTTCCCAAAACGATAAATGATTGAGGCTCAGTGTTAGTGGAGTTGCCATTGCCCTGCCATCAGCTGACAGAGACCCAGGCGAAGAACCAGATCAATTCGCTGTTGTTGTGCAGCTGGCCTTTTGCACACACATGTGTACGGAGGTGGTGTTGGTTTCATGACGTGTCCTATGTGTGACATGTCCATGGCACTGCTAATAATGGCCTTAGGTGTGGAAAGACAAGGTCTTGTGAACATCCACCGCCATGATCGACTGGACTGATAGCACTTACAAGTTCCAACTGAGGGAAACAAAGAACCAAGTTCATATCGCCTGGCCCCGACTTCCCACTTCCCCTTTCTGTCCTCAGGACGCTCTGCCACTCCGGGCCCTGTCCCAACCCTGAAGGCTGTTCTGCGGAGGTCAGCGTGCGCTGCTCCTGTCCCAACAAGCACCGTGCCAAGTGGAAGTGCTCGAAGTTGCAGGCTGCGTTAGAGTGCGCCGGCCAGCCACTAACGTACGACGACGTGCAGGCGCTGCGGCTGCTACTGTGTGATGCGGAGTGCGAGCTTCTTAAAGGCCAAGGTCGCCACCTCAGTTCAAAAGCCAAGGTCACTGCCAACGGGCCAGCACCTTCCACCAGCATGACCGTGCCGTGCAGCATGGAGTCTCTGTCCTATGGAGCATGAGGCACGGTAGAAAACAGGCACGTAAATGCCCTGAATGCGTCAAACTCTTTAGTAAGAAGTTATGTACTGTGTCTTTTATCCATTGCGGCCAAGTTCATGAGCATTGTCATTTAATCTTTCCGGTTCTGTAAAAATTGTCAGAACGTTTCCGGGCAAACAATCACGCAGTTTTTTGAATGAGCTGTTAGAAATAGGCTCTGGTAGAGTATTATCAGGAAATCTGTATTATAAACATATGATTTTATGATTTCTACTGGGAAGGCCAGCAAGACGCGACTGACGCGGGCGGAACGGGAGGCGTTGGCGGCTAAGGAGGAGGCCGAACGGCTGCGTCAGCAGCGACTGACAGCTATTGTGGGGGGGGTCATGATGGGCATTGTGGTGGCGCTAGGCTTGCTGCTGGCTTGGGGCATCAAGGTCGTCCTGTCGTACCTGGACGAGATGATGCAATAATCGTGTGCAGTAAGCGCGCAGTGGAGGTGTCATGCGCTGCATATTGGGCCACAGCATAGGCAATAACACACGCAGCGCAGGTGGATTGTGGGGCGATGGAAGGCATTGGAAGAAGCCTACTAGACGTTGCGGTCGGAGATTTTTTGCAATTTATTCAGGTCAAGGATTTTATTCCACGCAGAGCTGGATGTGCTGTACTGTCGACACAAAGTATTGCCTTAATGTGGGTGTGGAAACCATTTCTAGTGCCTCAATTCACCTGCGGTTGCCGGCACTTATCAGCCAGATGTGACTATGTACCAGTCGATGACGCTGGATTAGCGTTTTGCCGTGGAAGGCCTTGGAAATGATGGCAACTTCAAACGCTGCACCGCAGCTGTATGAGGGCATATAGCACCCACCCGGGGGAGCGATGGAGGGCAGCATGGTAGTTTTTCAGTTGGGTGCGCGGGGAACCAACATGTAATAATGATGGCTGTCGTACACCCGCTCACCCCCCAGAAGTATCAATGATTTGGGGGTATTCCTTGAAGCAGCTATTCGGGGCTGTGACATCATGTGGCTTAGTAAATCGGTGATGCATTCTGCATTTGAGAAGTCGGTATGATGGCCAAGTGCAACTTTTGGTGGGTGCTGAACCCTAGAAAGCCACTGAACTTCCAATAGTCGGCATGGATGAGGAGGATGAGGGTGCCGTCGCTGCCAGGCTAATGGTCTCGGGTGAAGCTTTTCCGCCCTGTCCCACACAATAACATGTCCATATGGGATGTAAAGATGAACATTTTGTACATTCGGCTCGTGAGTGCACCAAAGGGTAGGACCATACTCCTCTTCCTTTTCGTTTGATGTTTCCTTGAACCTGCTTTCCGTTTCCCTAACCATATTTAATCTAATCCAGCCCCCAGTACGCTTGCGGGAAATGCTACTGCCTTTGACTTCTACCGCTACCCCACACCTTTACCTTACGGCGCTCACCGAGCCAGGCAGTGGTGTCGGGGCGAAGGCAGACATTCGCAAAATGGCCGCAGAGCTGAGGCGGACGCCTAACTATGGAGCATGCCGGGCATCCGTTTCCTGTTTTTAACGTTCATGGCTTCTCGGCAGGCAAGTTCGACCAGGTTAAGGCTATATCCGTGGATTGCTTAACCATGACGCTATCGTTCTTACTAAGATGAAGGCGCCCGTTAATCGCACTCGCGCCAAGGAGCAACTCGTATTACAGGGCTATAGCCACTTCGCATGCACTAGGGCACCGCGCACTGGCTATCAAAGGTCAGGCGGGGTCTCAGTGTTTGTGCGTGATGAGCTGGCCCCCTGTGTGAGAGAAGTGGGCCTAACGAATGCACCTGTTGGGGTGGAGATCGTCTGGTTGCGTTTCCCTAGTGTTCTCCCTGGAGGTCGGGCGCTTCTACTTGGGGTAGCTAGGTTACTGCTCGCCCCAGGGGTGCAGTGTCTATAGCAGCACGGATGGCAGTGGCCTGGTGTATAGCGAGGTCCCCGACGCTGCTTTCGGAAGCATTACTGGCGAGCTAGAAGGCTACAACGTGCGGGCGATGAGGTGCTTATCACAGGTGATTTTAATGCCCGTACGGCAGCTATACTAGACTTGCCCAGACATTGTTAACTCGGTGACAGCAGCCAGCAGCTATAGATCGGGCCAACGTATTTATCCTACACCGGCTGGCGCTTCGCCCCCGGAAACGTTATGTCACCACCTTTATATGCTCTGCGCTCACCACCGCCGGCAATTCCGGCCCTGCTTCCACGCCACCGCCTCTTTCCGGCCCTTACTATTCAGGCCGTGTGAACCAAGCGGAAGGAGGGTATAAACCAACAAGCCTCAACAGTCCATAAGCTTAAGCTCACCACACGCGCGCGCGTGTGTGTGTGTTATGTGTAGCGGTGGCAGAGGCGGTGGGATGATGGACTGCTCGCCCGCTGGGCGTAATGTACTGCACCTTCTCAGCTCGCCACACACGAAACACACACACACACACGCAACCTGCCACACGCACCAGGCCAGCAGGCTTGGTTTGAAAAGCGCATGCAGAACACCCTGCATTGACGGTTCAGACCTTGCCAGGTGGGGTACTGCGCCATACAGCCATGCAACCAACCATGCCAGGCATCCGTAGCCCAACTCAGCACGCAGGGGCACATACATACACACATACTGTTTGTGTTTTGCATGGTCGTGAGGGTGCGTACCCCTTGTACCAGTAAACCGCCCAATACGAGCCGAGGGCTCAAGGGCTGCCAGATCGCCTATAAGCATCATCCCACCTCGCACTTCAGACAAAGCAAGCGTTACAGGGAAGGATAGAGTTGCGGTGGGACCGCATACGTTCACACATCCATCAAGTAGGCTCTCACGGGCAGGCGCCCCGTGCCTTGTATGTATGTGTGTGTGAGTGTGCACTCGAGACCAGCCGTATGCGTGCCTTGTTAATGCGCCGTGCGGTGCGGTGCTGGTGCGCGCACAACACCTTTCCTGCCCCTTGCGCGTGTGAACAATAACCAGACTGTTGGAAAGAAGTCGCGCGCCGCGTGACGACTCCCACCCACCTCCACCCCTGCCTTGCAGTAGATGTGTATGGCGTCCAGCTGCGCTTTCCCCCCGGACGTTGATCGTCCTCACTGTGGCAGCTACCCTAGCGCCGCGCAGAGCCGCTTCCGCTGGTAGGGACAGCAGCAGTAGCGGCAGCAGCAGTAGCAACAAATCTGCCTCAGTTCGCCAAGCTCATGAATGTGGCCGTCAAGTAGACGCGTATGTGCCTACGTGCACATACTCACACGCTTACAAACCTACATGCAGTCATAGAAACAGATGCTGATGGTGTTGCTGCTGATTTAAAAAAACATCATAATCACATTCACACATGCAAAATCGCGCGCACACATACACATACATACATATGCAAGTACCGGACCGGCTCTGTTCGTTCACAAAAACACACCAAAACCGGGAGCGCAACACCAGCGCGCGCACGCAATTATACGTGTAAAAAGAAACACAACACAGCATTATTGCCGTTACCTCACATGGGGCCCGCGATGGCGAGGCCCTTTATTTATGTCGTCTGCCGGATTCCTAGGCCTGCTCCCCCAGATCACCTACCCCTCTCCACATACACCCCTCACCCCACCTCACCTCACCTCAGTGCCCCCCCCCACCCACGCACGTGGCTCACGCAGCCCGCACGGCCCGCTGCAGCTCAAGGAATCGAGACTCACACACTCACAAAGCCGATTATCATCCGACCCGTCGGCCCCGACACCCCGACACCCACCGCCATATAAACGAGGACGGACGGACGGACAGACAGACGGACGGCACCATGGCCAGAAGCCTACCAGCATGGGCATGTACTCGAGAGGCGCGCGGGTGGCCCCTGGCTGACCCAAGGCTGGAAATCACTCGTCTCTTCTAGCTGCCCAAAAAATCATTAAGGAACGAAGGGGAGAGAGAGAGAGATAGAACTGAATAATTTTCATGCCAGTTCCATGCCCTAACAATCCAGTTCCCTTTCCGCCGCCGTACAGCCGTGGCGGCCGCCGCCGCACGCCACATCGAACTCCCCGAAATGCCTCATCTGGGTGCCAAGTGCTCTCGCAGGAACGTGCTAGTCCACGAATGGACATGCGGCATGTTCCTGCGACATGCTAGTCTACAAATGGAAACAGAAACTAGTCTTCCCATGCACCACACCGCACCAAACCACACGCTGCATTATGCTATACATACCACGTCAACACCATATCGTTCATCTCCCCGCCGAAACCCACATCCAACCGTACAATCAATGGGGATCTACCCATTGAGATCTGAAGAGGATTTAGGGTTTCTAGCTATTTCTATACGGGGCCCCAATCTGCTCCCCCGCCTCAGCTGCGTCCGCCACCCTCACACGGCGGCTTCATTAAAGGGCGATGAGGGATCTCGAACACCGCGGGATCCAATCCCACTCCCCTTCCCATCCAAGGAGAGGTTTGGGAAGGTGAAAAGAAACAACGCCCTGATCGGCTGCACACATCATCATCATCATCATCACCATTATGATCGTCATCAGCGCCAGCACTGAACCCTAAGCATCACACACATTTTGGTGAATTGCCGTACCAAATAAAACCCTTTCAGAAGGATGACCGGGACACGACAGCTCACGAGAGCCGCACACTGCTGCACACTGCTGCGTCTCCCTTAACCGTTCGTGGCTGTGGTTGTTGTTGCTGTTCATGAAGGTGACTGGGCGGTGCGCTGACCACCTCTCGTGTCGGCGACTTGGCACCTTTCCTGACACCTAACAACCTTCGGAAAGCGTTACCTAATCACGAAGGTCGGTCACCTGATCACAAGCGTTTTTGGCCCTTGCTTCTTTTGGTGTTGCTGCGGCCACTGTCAGCCTGCTTTTGGAGCTCAGATGCCACTACTGCTGGCAATCCCCCTTTCCCCCCCCCCCGCCGGCGCCATTTAGGACACTGAATAACAATCCCCCAAGGCATACTTCTCTATCTCCCGCCTTGCAACCGGCGGGATGCATGTCGTGTTTTCAAGTTCTCAAGCCGCCGTTATGTGCCCTGGTGTGGCACCCCGTTCCGCACCCCGTTCCGGTTGTCCTCCTAACCCTCTGACGCCAACAAGGCCACGTCCGCCCTTTCCGCTACTCGCCAGGCGACAACCTTAGCGCCCTTAGGAAGGTATGTATGTATATGTGTGTATGTATGTATGCATGTATGTATGTATGACTAACTACATTCGCTGTCTGCACTGTTAATCCCTTCCCGCCCGCCCTAACAGGAATCTGCAGGAACCTGGACTCGAACAAGAGACTCGTGCCCAGGCCCGCGCGTATCCAACCGTATTCAAGTTGAGCGCGTGTGTCATTCCATATCAATGTTGCTTGCCAAGTGCCACCTGTGATGCTGCTGATGCCGCGACACCAGTGTATGTATTCCCCCCCCCACACACACACACGCAGCTGGAGCTCTGCTCACGGCAGAGCAGGTGAACACCATGCCGACGTGCAACGCTGCGCCACCGGCGGCAATCAGGAATGCCGTATTTATAGTAACGGCGGCGTTCCCCGCCGCCGCCGCCGCCGCCACCGCGCCATTACTACGTTGCGTACGACCAGTACACACCCGTCTGCCCGGAGGTGCAGCACAAGCTCCACGGCTCCCAGTTGCCACCGGGGCCGCGCTCCCGGCGTAGCGGCACGTGACCCGTGTGTTTCACCTCGTACACCGCGGCACGTGTGTCGTACAAGTTGACAGCCGCCCTGAGTGCCTGCGGAAATAGGACGAGCAGGAGGACGAGCCGTACGACGAAGTTCTTACAGCCCCGCTTGAAGGCGAACTGATCAACTAACAAACCGATAAACTGGCAAGCTGACGGAGATTAGAATTGAGTCGAGGTTAGGTTGTCAAGCTGAATGCCTCCGTATGCATCATCCCGCGGCACATCACCACCAGCCACCTCTGGGGCTGTGACTCAAAAGAGCTCAGTCGGTCCACCCCAACTCCCATTCCGCCACACCGCCACACGACGTCTCCGCACCTCGCCGTGCGTCACAATAATCACGTTACGCCCCGCAAACTCCTTAGAAACCAACTTGATTTGCCGCTCGTAGCGCTTGAGTGCCTGCTCGATCTTCTCCGGGTACGTCGGCGTTGTGTCGTTCCACACCTCGGGGCGGGTGCGCACGCCGCTCAGTGCCAGCTCTGAGCGAGGACACACACACCAGGAGCGAATGAAAGACACGTGGTCGTTCAGTGGCCGTTTACCTCCGGCCAGTCATAATATGTTCATATCGTACAGCGACGGAATAGGCCCAAGAGGACTTTACACGGCTCTGCAGGCCTGCTTTCAATGGGCGGCCCGGGCCCCCCGGGTCATCAGCGTCCGGATTCCGGCTCCTGCCAAGTCACACAAATCTGTACCCAAATGCCCTTTCTTTTGCCCTTCGCGCCAAAGGTGCAGCGCATGAGCTACAACAGGTCATATCACACATTTAGGCATTTTTGCCAGGAGTGTGGATGTGCATCGGGAGCCATTCGCCTCCCCGGCTACAGGTCTGACCTGGATTTGGATTTGGATTATTGAGTTATTGGGACTCGAATTGGGTTATTGAGACGCTACCTAGCCTTGTTATGCATCCAGAGGCTGCATGCTACCTCGGGCATTTCCCCCCTTTTCCCCCCCCTCCAACCGCACCTTTCTGGCCACCCACCCTGTCTCAACACCCGCCTCCTCTCCCTCTCTTTTCCAATCCTCAACCCCCCATCCTTTGCCATCAGGGGTTTTCCGAGCCTCTTCCCGGAGAATCTTCCCCCCTCTGCAAGCTCCTATACAGCTCCTGTCCCCATCAGCCCCCCGGCGCCAGTCACTCATACCAGCCTGCCAGGGCCCCCACCTGGAGCCAACAGGTCCGTTAGAGCCTGCTCGAATGTCTGCCCGTTCCACATCCACTCCCGGATCGGCCGCTTCCCCAGGGTGGCCCGCAGGTCATCTCGCCCCGCCAGCAGCAGCCGGGGATCACAGAGCTGCATTAAGACCAGCAGGACAGGGGTAGGGGAAGGATATGCATATACGTGAAAAAGCTGAAATTTTGCAGGTGTCGCGGGTTTCAGAGGGCCCCCAGGAGCATTGACGGCGTACAGCGTGCAACTAGCAGGAGGAAGAGGTCGTAAAGGTTGGAGGAAATCCATCAGGCATCGATTTAGTAGCGGGCATTAAAGGTGCCCTCGCAGGGGTGCAAGATGGCTTCTGGGAAAGGGCTGGGCTGCCCAGGGTGGTGACGGAGCGACGAGTGCTAAGGGAGAGCTAGGGCATATGGCTATCTGAGTTTGATGATTTATGCGGAGTGTGGCAAAGAAGGGTAGCCCCTACTCCCCCTTCTTTTTCTGCTGCAACCTCACAACCCTGCGCTGCCTGCTGCCGCCTGTTTAAGCAGAGCTGTCTTGATTGCCCACAGCTGCATCAATCCGCAATCCTCCATGCTGCCGCGGAGGAGCACCGGGATGGTCCCATGGCCAGCAGGTAAGCCTCACCTCGGCCATAGGCCACAGGACGAGCCATCTGCCCTGTTCCAACCCAAGCTCGTCCACAATTTCCGCTGAGGTTTGCAAGCATCGCACGAAAGGCGATGTGAGAACGTAGTCGATGTTTTTGGACTTGAATTGCGCAGCAGCCTCGCGAGCCTGGAGGGTATGGGACGGACATCTGGAAGAGTGAGGGACGACTACACACGAGCCGCGGCATTGAACTCTACTACCTGCCTAACCTGCGGCATTGCTAATAGAGCGGATTGTTTCGGATTTTGGTTCACGCGCGAATGCGCTTAAATGATGGGGGGCGCCGTGAAGGGGCGACATTCCGGTAACGACCTAGCGATGAGTTGCCTCCGAGCTGAAATGCACACAGCTCATAGACTTCGCAAAAGTCCTTGCAACCACATATGCAGAAACTAAGGCGATTACAAGAGCTCTGTGCAGGATGTGGTGTAGGGTGTCAGGCGCAGTGACAGGCAAAAGATACCACGCACCTGCCGCCGGCCTTTTGCCGATAAAGGAGGATCCCTACGAAAAAGGGCGAGGGGCTAAGCTGAAGTTGGAGCCAAAGAGCCCAGTTTAATGCCGGGCCAGTTGCTGAACTGCGCGTGACAGGTTGCGTACCAGGGCCGAGCTGCTGTCAGGTGCCATACGTCATCCTCTTCATCTTGTCGATGTCCATGTCTCATGCAATACACGTTTTGCTCCAACGAGTCGATAGGTACTTCTCCGGAAGCAACGCCCCTAGATACTACATTTCCTCCTTGGACTAAGGGTTCAAGGACAGCTTGAGGTGCGACAGTGTCCGCAATATCGAGGCAGGGGCAACAAAAGGAAACCAGACTGCGCATTTCCAGGCCTTAAGGGCCAACTTGCATACGTGAAAACCTTTCCAAAGTGATAAATATGTGTCACATAATGTCTCAAAGCGATATGTCAAGGGTTACAAGCCTAATTGCGTTGATTCTGTAACTTAAGACATTGCGTGCGCCATCGTGCAGCCCATGCAGCGCGCATGCAGCCAGTGAGTTATAAATCCTTGGTACAGGTTCTGTACATTGGACATAGTGAAAAAATGTAATTGGCTTCGTGATTTGGCGTTAAAGACCTCTTTTATCAACAGCTGTCATTTCTAGCTGCCCTATCTTGTCCTACCATGATTGACCTAACATTGTCTAGCGATGAGGAGGCACCGCCCAAGCGCCATGAAGGTAAGCCAAATCTGAAAAAATGGTAGGCAGGGTAGGCTTTCAAACCTTCATGTTGATGAATTCCAGCCTTACCAACTGGTGTTAAATTGTTGCAAGAAGAGCTTCAACCCGTCCTAAGCGTGGTCACATGGACGCTTTCATGGGCCCTCGTAAAGCTGTCGGCGTAAATCTCATGGTCGTCCAACTGACGCAGTCCCGGGTCGCTTCTGCACCTCCTCGCGCTGGCTGCCAACCTTCCCGTAGCTCTCCAAGCGACACAACCACAGCATAACTGCGGGTCTCCAAACCTCCCAAGCGCTGCGGAGGCAGTTGCCGCTCCATCCGGACACGCGCATGCAACCTTTCCGCCATTTGGAGAATCTGGGGCCCGGGGCCACGCCGCAACCGACCTAGATCAGGATCACGAGCTTGAACCCACTCAGCGAATCAACCCGTCCGGGCCTGACGGCACAGATGACCTTCTCCACTTCTTAACTGGTTTCAACGACAACGACGATGGCAGCGACGACGCGGACGGTGCAGGTAGCGGGGGGGCAGATGCAAACCCAGGTCGTCGTGATCAGCATGCCGACGGAAATCCTGGTGGATGCGGGGCTCCCGGAACCAGCGGAAGAGGCGCCAACGGCGCCAATGGCCGCAGACCCTGCGGGCGGCGGAAGAAGGAAGAAATAGAGGAGGACGGAGGGCCTAGCTGCGATAGCGAGGCGGCAGCAGCAGCAGCAGCACCCAAGAAGAGACGCGGGGTACGAAACGGAGTGGTGCTGGCAGCTAGGTCGCTTTGAAAACGCCAGAACAGAGGTCGCAACTGATGATTATGCCATCTGGGGCCATGTTGGCGTTGCTAGCAACAGCTTTCTGTGTGTGGGGGGGGTGGCTGCATGCACCCAGGCTGTGGAAGAGGGCACAGCTGTCGTAAAGCCACTTGGCGGGAAACGATCATGGCAGAAACAAGTTGTGCAGAGGTCTGGATTGTGAAATTTGTTCGGCTTTGGGTTGTTGGGTTGTTTGGTGGCCTAAGGATAGCCCTGTACACGTGCTGGCTGATGGCGTGTTGTGTCTTCAAACCCACATCACCCCTTCACATGACTCACGTCCACATCAACTCCGATCCGTCAGATCCTTATCTTAAAAACCTATATTCACTTCAGCCCGCATTCTCGACTACTCGACCCAGATCAGCAAAAAAGCCTTCCACACATCCCTTCTCAATGCCCCGCCTCCGTCTCCCCGACTCCACATCTTCTATCTCCACACACACACACACACACCCCTATACACACATCCTGGATTCGCATCGCTCACGTTGAAGCCTTCCTCAACGCCAATCTCCCCAACGCCAGGGCGGCGGCAAGCGGCTGACCGCGGAGGAGCGCGAGGAGCGGGACCGCGCCAAGGCGGCGGAGAAGGCGGCCAAGGCGGCCGAGCGGGCGAGAATCAGAGAGGAGAAGGCCGCGGCCAAGGAGGCGGAGAAGGAGCGCAAAGCATCGGAGAAGGTAGGATCCAGGAGAGAGAGAGAGAGAGAGAGAGAGAGAGGGGCAGGGGAAGGGCCTACGTTGGCGGCGTACAGGACCCTGCCTGGTCTGAACCGGTTTGTAACGGCTCTTGAGGAATTAGCCTGAGAAACCACAACCCGCAGACCTTCCACCTTAGAGGCTTACAGTGCCTATGCAGTGGTCGAATATATTGAATATCTCCATGTCACAATTTCCACACTTTTCGCTCTGGCGTTGACTTCAGGATGAGCAGAAGCGGGCCAAGGCGGCAGAAAAAGAGTCGGCTAAGGAGCAGAAGGAAGCTGGAAAGTAAGAGGAAGAGCAGAGAGCAGTAAGCTGGCAAGAGCAGAAAGCCAGGGGCGGGGCCCGGGTAGGGATCTGGCACAAATCGCTTCCTTCCCTCCCTCTCTCTTCCTCTTCTTCTGCAGCTGCAGTGCTGAATGGGGCGGGTTTGGGTGGGGTGGAGTGGAGTGGAGTGGGTCGGGGAGAGCGGGGTTAGGTCAGCTCAGGGCCTTGGTAGGTGTGCCACACAGCGCTGGTAACGCAGCCACGCAACGGCATGAAAATAGCTGCTGGTGGCAGCCGTGACGGGTTAGGGGTAGATGAGCAGCACGAAACTCTGTTGTGTCGGCATGCATGTGTCGGGTCGTGTGTTTGGACTCTGCGCCTTTGCCGACTTGGCAACAGCAACCCCTAACAAGGGTGATCCTTTCCCCCCCTTTCCAGCAACCATAAAGCTGCCGCACTGCTACCGCTGATGCTAATACAGTTCTTCTACTGCGTCGCTACGGGTGTATATGCATATTAAAGCACTAGGTGTGCACCGCTCCGCTCCGCGGCCCCAACCCCACCCCTCGGCCCCACCCCTCGGCCCCACCCCTCGGCCCCACCCCTCGGCCCCACCCCTCGGCCCCACCCCTCGGCCCCACCCCTCGGCCCCACCCCTCGGCCCCACCCCTCGGCCCCACCCCTCGGCCCCACCCCTCGGCCCCACCCCTCGGCCCCACCCCTCGGCCCCACCCCTCGGCCCCACCCCTCGGCCCCACCCCTCGGCCCCACCCCTCGGCCCCACCCCTCGGCCCCATGATCCCGATCATGGATCACCATTCACTTAGGAAAGCTGATAAAGATAAAGATCTCATCCACATACTTACTTCCCCCCTAGCCACTCTTGCCCTGGCAGCAGCTTCACTCGTTCGTGGTTCGTCTTTGCCCCCCTAGCCCGTACTACCCCCCTCCTTCAAGCCTCGGAGTCAGCCCTCAGCCAACGCCTTCTGTCCCTCGCCCGCACCTCCTCAGCGCCCTGAAGGTCACGATGGTGGGTCGCTACATGCGGCTCCTGATCAGCAACACGCTGGCGGCCACACCCCTGGGATACAAGATCGTGGACATGATTCCCGTCGTGCGGGGCAACAAGAAGGACGAGACCTTCCCGCACGAGGTTCACAAGGACATGCCCCTGGCCGCCCGGGGCTACAAGTGCGTGAGAGAGGGGCCGTGTGTGTGTGTGCGAATGGGGGGGGAGGCATGTTAGGGCCGGTGCGGGTGTGGGTGCATGCGTTGGATGGACGCAATGTGGTTGCTTGTGTGGTTGTTTTTGTGTGTGTGGTGGGGGGGGAATGCATGTACATGCGGTGGACTAGGGTCCGCCACCCCCTTCAACATCCACTCACTAGCCCTCGTGTCGCCCTGCCCCGCCTCCACCCCTCACGGAGCGAGACCCTTTCCCCTTGGGCGTCCGCACTTGTTCTTTTTCCTTGAGTTATCGCTTTTGTGAGTTATCTTGTGTGTCTGTGTGTGTGTGTATGTGTGTGTTATCGGCTCCCACTTGTGCCCTCCCACCCAACCACCGAGGTACTGCATGTGGGGCATGCGGCTGCCCGCCGCGTCCGCCGCGCGGCTGCAGGCGGCGGAGGGGTGCGCACTGGAGGCCAGCGGACTGCCTGAGCCGTCCGGGAGGGACTCGGTGGGTGGGCGGGTGGGGTGTGTGGGGTGTGTGTGGTTGGCTGGTGGTGGGTGGGAGCATTGGGGAGAGCGATGAAGTAATGGAGTACCGGGATCGGGAGGAAAGCCTTGGCATCTGTGTTGTATGTATGTATGTATGTATGTATGTATGTATGTGCGTGTGTGCCATGCGCAAGTCCTGGGGAGTGGCGCCTTGGGCAACATGGTTAGGTGGTGCGTGTTTGGGGGTGTTTGACCTCGCTGTTCCTTTGGACCTTCCTGACATGTCTTCCAGCTCCGTGGACCTTCGCGACCGTACCGTCACATGGGCCCCTCGCACGGAGATACGCTGCGCTTCTTCCTCATAATGCCCCATCACATACCATCTCCCTCACCCGCACCCTCACCCCTGGCAGCCGTGCCGCCATTTTACCACGACCACGACCATCGTCACTCACCACCACTTCCTCTTGCATTCTTGCAGCACAGGGTTCACCCTCACTGAGCACCACCACCACCACCACCACCACCACCACCACCACCACCACCACCACCACCACCACCACCACCACCACCACCACCACCACCACCACCACCACCACCACCGTTGTGGCCATCGCCTTCCCCTCCTCTCGTGCCGGGTTTGTCCCCTACTTCCTTTTCCTCTCTCTCAATCACGATCTTCAACATCTGCCTCCCTCTACCCCTCCGCTACCCATTCCCTACCCCGTTCCCATTCCCTACCCCCCAGCCCCTGATGCTCTTCCCCGCGCTGTTGCTCGTCCTCACGGGGGACGAGCTGCTGCTGAGGCTGGAGGCAGACCCGGCGGCGCCGCTGGGGACGCTGTACAACGATGTCGTACGGGCGCACCCGTTCGCCTCCCCGGTGGTGTACGTGGTGGGGCTGGAGGAGGCCATGAGGCGCCGGGAGCGGGCCAACAGGGTGTGTGGTTGGGTGGTTGGGTGGTTGGGTGGGGGAATGAGAGGGCTGGGAGGCGGCTGGTGGCAGCCGCAATACAAGGAGTGGGGCTGAGAGCCGGGCTGCCGGGCAGCTGGCTGTCGCGGATAAGGAAGGGGGATGGACGGCTCGGGTGCGGCGGTGGGAGGACCTCGGGCTGGTGAAGGCCGGGTGGTGCTTTGTTCGCTAGGCATGCCGAGCTGAGGACACAAGTGAAACCGAACGGTTAGTCCGTTGGTTGCTGACACACACGACACGTGCCGTTCCTTCTTCCATGTTCTCTATCTCAACCCCTCCGGCCCCCCGCAATCCCACAAAAAAAACCACCACCGCCACCACAATCCCAACCGTCCCACAGAACCCGCCTGCAACCGAGTTTGGGTTTGGAATCCATGGCTCATAGGTCGCCCCTTTCTGTCCCTCACACCCCGCCCTTGGCCTTGCGTTCCCTTTTACCGGACACACATGACCCGTGGGTCAGTCCTTCAACAGGATGGCTGTGGAGGACCTGCTGTTCGACGTGGCAGTCGGCATGCCCGCAGTCAGGTAGGTCTCCGGACATTACTTTAAACTGAAGGAACTGCCGCGGTCTCCCCCCCTGGCTTACAGCCCCCTGCCCTGGGGAGCCCAGCCTGGGACCGATTCCTGGTCGGTGTCGGGGGGTTTGGGGGATGGTGATGAGGTGTGGGCCCCTGGGGGCGAGGGTCTAGGTCCGGACTGATCTGGTCTGGGAGGGCGCACCAGCGCCGAAGGGGGGGCTGAAGGGGTCGTGGAGTCCATGCACATGGGCGTACCGGCGCTCTACAGCCCTCTTAGCTCTTAGCTGTCCTCCTCCTGCTCCTTCTGCTCCTCTCTCTCCTGCTCCTCTTTCCCCTGTTCCTATGTTTCCTCCTCCTTCTGCTCCTTAAGGAAGAGGAAAAATGCTCTTCTGCTCCACTGTCTCTTACTTTTCCTCCTGCTCCTGCTCCTGCTCCTCCGCCTGCTCCTGCTCCTGCTCCTCGTCTCCCGCAGACTACAGTACGACTGTCCCGAGGGCGACCTGACTCGCGCCGCCAACGACATCCTGAACCTGGGGTACACGCTCTCCCAGCAGCCCAAGAAGCGTCTGGAAGCCTACCTAGACACGTTCGGTAGCAGGTAGCGGCCTGCGGGCTCAAGCAGCAGAGCAGCAGAGGGAGGGAGATCCCACAGGCTCTCGGGGCTGAGTGAGGGTTCTGAAATGGGTATAAGGGGCTTGTTGGGAGGCAGGATGTCCACGGAGGGGCTGAGGCTCAAGAGCGTTCAAATAGAGAAGGTCAAAAAGTACGGAAAGCCGTATCTAGATGGGATCAAGGCCTGATCCGCGCTGGGAAGCATGACGGGGTGAATTGGGAGCAGGGACGACGTGTTAGGCTGTAGGGAAGTGTACGACTGTGTACGACTTTCCCAACGGTATGCGCAACAGGTGCGGTATGGTTATATGGTAGTTGTCAAGGCTGCTCTGCGGCGACCCTAGGCAGGTAGTTCTTAAATTGCCAGGGTCTAAAAGCCCTGTTTCGCCCTGTGGTGGATGTGCGCCACACGGTGTTCCGGTCTGACAGGACCACGGTGCCGCTGCGGGCTGTCAAGGAGGTGCTCGCGCAGCAGGGCGGCACAGCGCAGCTGACCCTGTGTGAGGCGCTCAGCCAGCTGGTGGCGCCGCAGCGGGCGGCGGCGGTGGCGGCGGAATACCCCTCGCTGGCGGCTCTCATCGAGGCGTTGAAGGCCAGGTGGGTGGATGGATGGATGGGTGTCTGTGTGGCGAGGCGGGGTTGAGATGGTGGGGAAAAGGTGTCGCGGCAAAGGTGGGGCGGTTTTGGGCCGGCGGAGGGTGGCCTGGGCCTGGGGCCAGGTGCATGCAAGCGAGCTGCTGGTTGTAATGTGCAGTGGGGGGCCCCGGGCGTTTGGTGAACGTAGTGGGGTGGAAGGCCGGTAGCTGGTTCGCGAGTTTTCGTGTCAGTGTGGTCCCTTGTATAGTCCCTTGTAATCACGGGGCCATCAGGGGTATATGGGCTTTTCTTTGAGGACCGGGAGGCACCCACGCAGGGAAAGGGCTCTCGGTTGGGGAACGACGGGGGAGCCCTCGGGGCGCACAGCGCGTGTGTGTGCGGCAATACCTCTTGGGCCTTTCTTTCTTTTCCTCCTTGTTCTTTTCTTCTGTCCATGCGACTGCTGTAGTATGGTTTCCTAGCGGTACTGCTTGAGACGTAATGCTTGGCGCGTAATCGTAATGTGGTTAATGGTGAGGGGTAATCGCCTTACCCAGACAGGCTCGGCGAGATACGGGAGGTGGCGCGCGGAGGGTCTAAATCATATACACACATGGGAAAGCATCAGGGCGGGGATCAGGTGTGCTTGATCGAATCTTGAGTCCGTCCTGGCGAACGAGGAAACGTCTCCCTACCTGGGCCCTCGGGCTGCCCCGCCTTTAACTTCCCCCTCCCCCCTTATCGCTTCTACGTGCAGGCCGGAAGGACGATCCCGCGAGGCCCTGTTGGCGAAGTGCCGCATCCCCGGCGTAGTGGCGGCTAAGGGCAGGCAGCAGGTCGCAGGCCCCGCGGCCGCGGCGCGACTGGCACGGTTCCTGCTCATGCAGAACGGGCGGGAGGAGTGGAAGGAAACGGAGGAGTGAATGAGGCTCCTCCGTCAGGAGGGGGGTTTAGGGTTTTAGGGTGGTGGGACTTCTTCCGGGCTATTTTAGACGGTCCAGAATAGATTGAGGACCAAAAGATTGATATCCTAGACTTGCCCTAGGAAGCTGTGACCCCTTAAGTGCCGAGGAACGGTATAGAACCGGATTATCTAGCTATCGCTCTAGCGCGTGCACGGCTGCATCTGTGCATGCGTGGATCCTAGCTATCGCACTGGAGGTCGGCCTATCATGCGTGCGCGCTTGCGTGTGTGTAAGGCGCCCACGCATGCATGCACGTGCCCGTGCATGCCCGTGGACATGCTCATAGATGCCCGTGCGTGCCCGTGCTTACTCATCCTTGCTTGCTATCGTGCGCGCATGCGTGCTGCCACAGCCCCCATTTCCTCGGCAGCACTTGCGCGAAAACATACTCATGGTTGTTCTATGCTTTCCGTGCAAATTTGTGGCATGCAGAAACGGTTCGGCACATATGATATTTCGCGCCTTATTTGTGGACAGCAGCATTCATACAATACATGTCTATAATATATGGATGCTTTCCCTGAAAACGTCCCTCTAGGATAAGCATGCACAAAGAAATCGGAAGTTTCCACTTTTCGCGGCACCGACCCGTAGCGGCTCGGCGATCACGAGCGCGACCATGACCGCGGCACTTCTCGAAGCATTTTTCCAAATCCTCCAAAGCCTTCGGTGGGTTTGTATACGAGGGCTCCAGGGCAAAGGGGTCGGCTAGGAAACCCTTATGCCAACGAAAGTCCGTACCCAGAACGTCCAAGGTACAACTTGGTGTAACTCCCTCCACAAAATATCCACAAAGTCGAGGGTGGTCAGGCGGAGGAAGGTGATTTGGGGCAAGGTCACCCGGAGGAGCACATCAAAACGCCCACACATTAGCTAGGGATACTCCTCCCTACGACCTATGATATATGAAACTCCACAATGTAAGTGGACGGCACCACCTCGGAATCTAAAATTGTGCCAGCTGAATGTCAACTTCTTCAAACAATTGCATCATTGTCCAGTGCGGTTCTACATACATCACTACCAACCGACGCCGCCTCTTATCTGCCGTCTTTGCTCGCATATGTACTTCCCCCCCCTACACACCCATGAACAATGGACCTAACTGTCCACTCCAGCACCACATGTTTCATGGCCATAAGTCAGCCATGGCGAAGTTGTGCAGGATGAAGCTGCTGAGGCCCTCGATGCCGGAAACCCACCAGGTGTTTGCAAGCGGGGTGTCCAGGGCAGGCAGTCCACAGGGCAGTGAACGTGATGATAGATGCGTCTACACTGCACATACAGGCACATTCACTGCTTGCTCCACATACACAGGCTGTTGACCCACACATACACCAGCCCCATCCATGTAGCTTTATTTATGTGCCGCATGTACATTGAATTCGTAATGTCACACTACTTGTGCCTGTCTTGGCACTAGCTGTGCGACTCCATCGAGGTGAGGCTTCATGAGCGCTCCTCATTGTTTTGGGCTGCCTCTCGGACAAACAGGAGAGGCTGACGATGACTTTGGAGGATTGGATGAAGATGAGGACAGCCCAGTGGACATCCTGCACTCCATGGCCCAATATGCGGCCTGGGAGGCAGAGCAGGATTCACAACTATCTCAAGTCAGTGATCTGGTCATGCGCATCCCTCCCGGGTTCCCAGCAGGCCCACCTCAGCTCACTGCTGCATGTGTTCGCGGGCACCAGCAGCACCACCGGGCCAGACCCCATGTTAATGCTGGAACAGAGTGTTGAAATGCTCGTTCAGGACATGGACACCTACTCTGTTATGCTGGATCAGCTTGAAGACATGGCGGCAGTCTGCACCGTGGAGGGTGGTGGCATCAAGAGTGGCAACACCCTTGCAGAAGCGATTTTGTGCCTGCTGAATACCAGCCTTGCAACCACCCATCTGCGTGCGCTACTCACACGCGTGTGTGGAGGCAGCGGCAGCACACGCGCGGTCCAGGCTTGGAAGCACCTGCAAGAGCTCCTGATGCCTAATGTGCTAGGGAACGTCGTGTGCTGGGACAACAGCAGCTCTCTGGTCATGCTGCTGCAATATGATGTCCTAGGCCGTGAAGTGCAGCTCATTGCTGCAAGCAGTGCACTGACAGTCGGCAAGGTCTCACACCTGACACTGCTCCTGCCCCGCCTGAGTGCAAGATAAGGCAAGAGGTTCATGACCGGCGGGCAAGTCTACAAGGGACATTTTGGTCAAAACCATGACAACAAACCCTGCAAATGGGCTCCCCTGAATGTAGTATCCTGGGTATCACACGATAAGACGTGATACAACAAATTGGTACCGAGACTCGGCATCCCAGCCTCGACCTGGGTTCGAGTCTCCTCGCAGCCTGCTGCCACTGGTTTCCTGTGGATGCTGTCATCTTTCAGGTACCCTGAGACAGATGAACGGTCTAGGACACCCTCAACTCTGGAGGGGGAATAATTGTAGTATCCTGGGTATCACGGGATTGACATCCACCGATAAGCTCTTTCCCTGCGATTAGATGTGATACAACACTGAACGGTTCACAAGGGGGGGGGCATACCGCTCAACCCGGTTCTTGCCGGGTTGCATGGCAGGAAGGGGGGGACGTGAATGCGGTGGTGCCTGAGACTAGGACGCACTGAAAGTTCCCCCATCAGCAGCAATATAAAATGTGATTTAGTTCTCTCCATGAGCCCCCCTGCTGCTGTAATTATGTTATATTATCCATTACTACTCTACTTTATACTCTTATATTCCAGTCCAAGCATGGACATGTTTTAGGAAGAGGTACACGTTGGTTAACATGCATAGATGTGATCAAGCATCAGACGACCCGCCTGCCACTTGTTCGCATCACGTATCAAAGCACTGTAAGCCAGAACATACAGCCCTACCCAACAAACCCAACGTTCGTTTGCTTCATTAAATCATTAATAATAGTAATTGATGCAGCGACAGCTCAGTCCTTCAGTTTCAGCTGCACACACATGGTTGTTTTTTGTGACTGTGTGCCTCTGACCCCCCCCCCGCTAACGTCACCATCCCTTTCCTTCGCCCTTTCCGCTTTGTGTGCAGGTTAGTACATGGGTTGGTCGCGGGAGGTTTACACCTAGATGCACGCCACCGCATACAGCCGTCAGCCATGGACGGTCGGGCCCCAGCAATCAGCAAATAAAACCCAGTTCTGTAGAGCTACAGGCCCCAAGGCACCGAAAATTCTGGTTAATACTAAAGTTGTTCGTCCGCCTGCACACGCCTAACCTCGTTTTCCTTGCACAGACGAGACGACTCCAGCCCCTGACCCGGCCCAAACTTTGAAGCCTCCACCTCTACCACCTACTACTTCTCATACCGTTCTGGGCTATGGCCTAAACGTGTTAACCCCCGCTGCTGCTGGAATGCCGCCTGGGTGGCAGAATTGTCTGGGGAAACCTGCAGGGCCCCTCTCTGCTTCCTGTCTTGGAACAATTATCTTATTGGTTATTTGCTTTAAACTCATACACTCCATCTCATGATATTGTGGGATGCTGCTGCACCCCGCTGTGCCAGGCTGGGGCCAGAAGCTGCTGGGCAGTGTCCTGCCGCCGATTGTTGCTTGTTGCTTGGGGCCTCCTCTGGTGCCCGGGTCCACAGCCAGGTAAGGGCGGTCCACTGTTTCCTCTCACAATCCCATGCCTGCTTGTTCCCCTCTCACCATCAAAAGCACGCAAAGGTTGCCATGTTACGGCTTGATTCCTGGCAACACATCTCCGCAGGTCTGCAGGAACACATTGATGCCTTGGGCGGGAATGGCGGTCACCTGCTTGCTACCGTTAGGGTCGTGCCCGGCTTGCACCATGCCTATCAGGAAGCCGTCCATGTTCAGGATGGGGCTGCCGGAGTACCCTGGCTCGGCATACGTGTCAATGGTGAAGGAACCGAAGGGTGATCGGGCGCCACCCATGAAGTGAACGCTGGAAACGGTGCCGCTATTGGAGCTCAGTTGTGGAGCATCCCGTCCAGTGAAGCCAATCATGTAGGCGCTGTCACCGGTAGCTGCCACGGAGCCGTGCAGTCGTGGCGGGTGTGCGGGCTGCTGTGGGCATTTGAAGACGGCCACGTCTGGGACCCAATCAACCCAGGCGTTATCAGGCGGGACCTGTTTCCGCTGCCCCGACTTCACCAGCTCGATGGGGACCTGATCGTTGAAGGCACTGCCATCGCTCATCAATGCAAAGAAATCCGTTGCACCGCTTTCAAGACCGTGTGCACAAGTAAGAATGTAGGGATTGCTGTCGGAGTAGAAGAAGCCGTTGAGGTGAATCACTGGCTCCAGGTCCGAAGGGCTCTCCTGCCGACGTCTACAGCCAACTATCTTCACAACTACGTTCTTGTTGCGGTTGAAGATCAGCTTGCGCCGCTCCTGCTCCATCGCCGCGAAAGAGCGCCCGAACTCAGAGTCAATAGGAAACCCCATAGCGCCACGCAGCAAGTTGTATCTGTCCATGGATTATAATCAATGGAAGAAGAACGCAACAGAAAGAGAAGTTCTTGCCCTTCTTGAGTAAACAAATGACAAATAGGAATGCTGCATCACTGTTCACGAATGACCAGCCATATTTGCATTTTGCTAGCAGGAGGCGATTTCCTTGATGGTTTCCTTGATGGTGAAAATTTATGGAAATCTGTTCGCAAGGTTTTGTAGGCAAATAGGGCCGGTCATTTGTGTACAGTACTTGCAGTCAGCTGTGTCTCGTATGCAGAGCTTGTACTCATACAAGATGGGGAGCATTAATTCGCGTCCTATTCAGCAGATGCATGGTGTTCTGCATGCTTAGCACATTCCTGCAGTGGCATCGCGCCTGCTGTACATGCGCTGTCTTAGTGTGGGTCCTCTGTCCGGGTTCACGGGGTGGCGTTCCCCGCCCCCCAACCTGGAGGTAAATTTGAGCGTCCGAGTACGGTGTACGGCGCGAATGCAAAGAATGTCTAGCGATCGGGTATGTATCACGAAAAGATTGTTGCGGCTCAGAAGCTACTACACGATTGGGGCTGACCGAATTCCTCCCGATTGCTGCTAACCCCTAATCCCGTGCAGGTTCTGGATTTAAACTTGGATCGTTTAATCGACCCCGGGCCTGGAGATGGTGTGAGGACGGCCCTGGTAAGTGAAGCCATGGTGGTCACATCTTACCGGTCCATGACGGTGCAGGCTAAGCCGCACCTTCTTCTGGAGCCTCCGGTGCTGAGGGCCTTCCGTTCCCTGCAGGGAGCACTCGACCTGTCGTGCAGCCCGGGGCCGCAGAGCAGCATCTCCACTAGCGGGACGGCAGGGTCCACCGGCCGGTTCAGGGGGCAATCGGCATGTCTTGGCGGGGGCTGGTGCGAGGCTCTCAGAAAGAGCGCCGGATCTCAGAGTCAATAGGAGTCTCGAGTAAACAAATTGTCATTTCCTATTGATGCTGAGATCGGGCACTCTTTCGTGGCAATGGAGCAGGAGCTGTGCAAGCTGATCTTCAACCGCAGCAAGAACTTAGTTGTGAAGATAGTTGGCTGTAAACGTCGGCAGGAGAGCACTTCGGACCTGGAGCCAGTGATTTACCTCAATGGCTTCTTCTACTCCAACAGCGATCCCTACATCCTTACTTGTGCACACGGTCTTAAAAGCGGTGCAACGGATTTCTTTGCATTGATGAGCGATGGCAGTGCCTTCAACGATCAGGTCCCCATCAAGCTGGTGAAGTAGGGGCAGCGGAAACAGGTCCCGCCTGATAACGCCCGGGTTGATTGGGTCCCAGACGTGGCCGTCTTCAAATGCCTGCAGGAGCCCACACACCCGCCACAACTGCACGGCGCCATGGAAGCTGTCGGTGACAGCACCTACATGATTGGCTTCGCTGGACGGGATGCTCCACAACTGAGCTCCAATAGTGGCACCATTTCGAGTGTTGGCTTCATGGGTGGCGCCCGATCCCCTTCGGTTCCTTCACCATTGACACGTATGCCGAGCCAGGGTACTCCGGCAGCCCCATCCTGAACATGGACGGCTTCCTGATAGGCATGGTGCAAGCCGGGCACGACCCTAACGGTAGCAAGCAAGTGACCGCCATTCCCGCCCAAGGCATCAACATGTTCCTGCAGACCTGCGGAGACACATTGCCAGGAATCAAGGTGTAACATGGTGACCTTTGCGTGCTTTTGACGGTGAGAGGGGAACAAGCGGGCATGGGATTGTGAGAGGAAACAGCAGACTGCCCTTACCTGGCTGTGGACCCGGGCACCAGAGGAGGCCCCAAGCAACAAGCAACAATCGGCAGCAGGACACTGCCCAGCAGCTTCCGGCCCCAGCCCGGCACGGTGGGGTGCAGCAGCGTCCCACAATATCATGAGATGGAGTGTATGAATTTAAAGCAAATAACCAATAAGATAATTGTTCCAAGACAGGAAGCAGAGAGGGGCCCCGCATGTTTCCCCAGACAATTCTGCCACCCAGGCGGCATTCCAGCAGCAGCGGGGGTTAACACGTTTAGGCTGTAGCCCAGAACGGTATGAGAATAGGAGGCGGTAGAGGTGGAGGCTTCAAAGTTTGGGCCGGGTCGGGGGCTGGAGTCGTCTTGTCTGTGCAAGGAAAACGAGGTTAGGTGTGTGCAGGCGGACGAACAACTTAAGTACTAACCGGAATTTTCGGCACCTTTGGGCCTGTAGCTCTACAGAACTGGGTTTTATTTGCTGATTGCTGGGGCCCGACCAGCCATGGCTGACGGCTGTATGCGGTGGCGTGCATCTAGGTGTAAACCTCCCGTGACCAACCCATGTACCAACCTGCACATGAAGCGGAAAGGCCGAAGGAAAGGGATGGTGACGTTAGTGGGAGGGGTCAGAGGCACACAGTCACAAAAAACAACCATGTGTGTGCAGCTGAAGGACTGAGCTGTCACTGCATCAATTACTATTATTAATGATTTAATGAAGCAAACGAACGTTGGGTTTGTTGGGTAGGGCTGTATGTTCTGGCTTACAGTGCTTTGATACGTGATGCGAACAAGTGGCAGACGGGTCGTCTGATGCTTTATCACATCTACGCATGTTAACTAACGTGTACCTCTTCCTAAAACATGTCCATGCTTGGACTGGAATATAAGAGTACAAAGTAGAGTAATAATGGATAATATAACATAATTACAGCAGCGGGGGGGGCTCATGGAGAGAACTAAATCACGTTTTAAATTGCCGCTGATGGGGGAACTGTAGCAGCTGACCGCTGAAAAGGTCTCTTGAGTTGCTGGTGGTCGCGCTCTGCACGTATTTATAGCACCGTTCTGTGTACCGGCTGCTACATTCCCCCCCCTTTGAAGGGGTCCGTCCCGGGCCCTTAGAGCCTCATTTTTTACCACCAGCCTGTGCCTACCTTCGCCTACCCTCGGGCAGTGGGGTATTCAAGTCCACATCATGTCATGTGCTCCCTTTCACATGCGCCTAGCCGTCTTCAGGTTTTTCAGGCACAGAGACAGACCAGTCGGTTCAGCTTTTTTTATAGTTTTGTGCGATATTCACTCACTGAGTCACCACACCCGAAATACCACTCGAACGTGATCGGTGGGGGTTGAACCGACGAGTTCACAATCATGATTTTCCACGAGGTCTCGATACCAGATGTAGCAGCTGACCACTGAAAAGGTCTCTCGAGTTGCTGGTGGTCGCGCTCTGCGCGTATATATAGCACCGTACTGTGTACCGGCTGCTACAGGAACTTTCAGTGCGTCCTAGTCTCAGGCGCCACCGCATTCACATCCCCCCCTTCCCGCCATGCAACCCGGCAAGAACCGGGTTGAGCGGTATGTCCCCCCCCTTGTGAAACGCTCAGGGGAGCACATTTGCGGGGGTTGTTGTCATGGTTTTGACCAAAATGTCCCTTGTAGACTTGCCCACCGGTCATGAACCTCTTGCCATATCTTGCACTCAGGCGGGGCAGGAGCAGCGTCAGGTGTGAGACCTTGCCGACTGTCAGTGCACTGCTCGCAGCATCGAGCTGCACTTCACGGCCTAGGATGTCATATTCCAGCAGCACGACCAGAGGGCTGCTGTTGTCCCAGCACACGATGTTCCCTAGCACATTACACGTCAGGAGCTCTTGCAGGCGCTTCCAAGCCTGGACCACGCATGCACTGCCGCCACCTCCGCACACATGTGTGAGTAGCACACACAGATGGGCGGTGGCAAGGCTAGTATTCAGCAGGCACAAAATCGCTTCTGCAAGGGTGTTGCCGCTCTTGATGCCACCACCCTCCACGGTGCAGACTGCCGCCATGTCTTCAAGCTGATCCAGCATAACAGTGTAGGTGTCCATGTCCTGAACGAGCATTTCAACACTCTGTTCCAGCATTAACATGGGGTCTGGCCCGGTGGTGCTGCTGGTGCCCGTGAACACATGCAGCAGTGAGCTGAGGTGGGCCAGCTGGGAACCCGGGAGGGATGCGCATGACCAGATCACTGACTTGAGATAGTTGTGAATCCTGCTCCGCCTCCCAGGCCGCATATTGAGCCATGAAGTGCAGAATGTCCACCGGGCTGTCCTCATCTTCATCCAATCCTCCAAAGTCATCATCAGCCTCTCCTGTTTGTCCGAGAGGCAGCCCAAAACAATGAGGAGCACTCATGAAGCCTCGCCTTGCCTTGGTGGAGTCACACAGCTAGTGCCAAGACAGGCACAAGTAGTGTGACATGACGAATTCAACATACATGTGGCACATAAATAAAGCTATATGGATGGGGCTGGTGTATGTGTGGGTCAACAGCCTGTGTATGTGGAGCAAGCAGTGAATGTGCCTGTATGTGCAGTATAGACACATCTGTCATCACATTCACTGCCCTGTGGACTCCCCACCCTGGACA